ATACTGGTTAATTCACAACCGTATTGATGAGATCGGGTTTCCATAAATAATTTATAAATAGTCTGTCAGTTGATGGATCAATTGCATCCCAGAAGGACTAGAGCTCAAGTAAGATAAACATTACTTAGCACATTTTTATAATAACATTTATTTATTGTAATATAACTAACCTATTTTCTTCTCCCGTTGATCAAGCTTGGTACTGAGGCCAACGTCACAAAGGGAAGTAATGTCGGCTTCTGTAAAACCAGCCGATTCGTTATTTAGAACTATTAAGCAGGCTAACTGTCTGCAAGTTGCCCCCATGACAGAAGACCTAAACTTTTCAAGACGAAATTGAAGAGTGGGACAAGAAGGTGACGGAGACACCGATGTAGCAACATGCGCTGATTCATCAAATGGCTCAGTGGAAGCATCACTTCCATCCGGAAGTAGATAATTGTTATCGTCCGCATTTTGAATGAGTTCTAAAAGGAAGTGGCCCGGCTGGAAATACATCTCTTCGGAGAGGTGAGTGAGGCTTCTCGAAAGACGACCCTCGGCACGCTTAAAGAAAAGATAGAAGTATAATGACATTTCATTACTGTTGGGGAACTTAAAAATGTTTGGGCTGAATCAACCAGACGCTCATTCATTCCGCTGCGATTGATTAGTTTAAAACTAAATAGTCGTTAGGCGTAAGTTAATGATAGGTCAATTTTTTATTGCAACCATTAATCACAAAGATTTTTCAACATGGGGAAATAAAAATATTGCAACCTTGCCCAAAGCATATTTCTTTATTTGTTACAAAGTCTGTAAAAATAGGCAAAATGAAGAAATGAATTCAGTAGACAAGCGTACTACATCCATAAAGTGCATAGCAAGCTTTATTAAGTAAGATAACCAGTGAGTGAGATAAGAGGGCATTAAAGTGATTAATAAATCCCAATGAAATCGATAGGTCACCAAAAGATATTTCTGACCTTTATGAGATCCACAGCCCTCTCTGAAAGAGTCTCACCAAGGCCAAATTCACGTCGTCGAAGGCCCTCTATGAATTCATATTGGCGAGTTTCTGTCTCAGAAACAGTCTCCATCGGTGACTGACAAGCTTCGGTCTCATTGGACGAACTTATGGACTGGCTTGCCACGGGAGTCACGGTATACATATCAGAGAAGGAAGGCTTTTGCAAGTGCAGGTGTAGCTGATCGAAGTTTGATGCAGAGATCTGTTTCCTAAGCTCGGTCAAATTCAAAAGATGTGGGTCCGATGATTCATTTGTAACTAAGTGGATGGCAAGCAAGCGCTGCTTCTCAAAGCAAGCTAACCAAGCCGGCCAAGCTAACTGACTTCCCAGCGCACCAAAGGCGTTAATGAGTCGCACACGATCTATAGTAGCTGGCATCGAGCTAGCAGGATCAATCGGATCAGCTAATCTTAAAAAATGGTCTAAGAGGTTAAGAGTCTGATTTGCAGTGTTCAAAGGCTGGTTGGAGGAGTCAAAGTCCTCTTGAGAGCCTGGGGGCAACGAGGCGTCAGGCCAAGAAACCGAGGGATAACAGCCAGCAGAGTGCAATGCGGGAACAATAATCTAGGGGAATAGAAATAATTTACATAAATTGAGAAATACGATATAAAATTATTTAGATTAAAGCTAAAGTTAAATTATTTTAATTCAAAATATAGTTGAAATATTGAGAAATAAAATCTGGTTATGACGTAAGCGATAGCTAGCAATTGTTTGGGACTTTATAAGGATGCTATAAATCCAATAGCATAGATCAAGCTAGCATATGTATTTGTCCCATAGACCTAATTGGAGAGATATTCTGGTCCACGATAGGTGT